GTTTACACCCAGAACCCTACCTATAGCATTTCAAAGCACATTTGGCATGGATGTCACTTGAGATTTCATAAAACTGAAGGAGGAAGAAAAGACTAAAGCAAAGAAGAGATTTCTCCCATTGCATGGCTTATTTCAGTAAATTTCATTTCTTCTGTGGTACTTATGAGCCTTAATTCCAAAAACAGAGAGTGTTACCAAGAAATACAAACAAGACAAAACCTGTAGGTGAACAGGACAAATGACTCCCACTAGTTATGATTTGGTGCCTTCACAGAACCACCAAAGCATGGACACATAAAATCCACCCTAAAAATGGACAGAAAACATGGTCTCAGAAAAAAAAATTCAAAGGAAATGTTTGCTAGCTTCAGAACTTTACAACTAACATAGTATCTTGCTGATCGTACTGCTGCATTCAAGGAAGCAGGACTTCGTAATTAAAACCAGAACGCAATTCAACCTCTGACTGTTATGACAAATTCTTCTCCTAGATTGAGCAAGAACTTAAACTTTAGGCTAAGTGCTCAGGTGAAAATGTCACACTATTATTAAAGCAAAAACGAAAAACAAGTCAAACTTGGGGCATCACATGATTTCTGCCAAGCTTTACTTCTACCATTATTCCTAAAAGCTCAGAGAAATACACCAGTATACCTACTGTTCCTTAGAACTGGATTAAGAAAACGCAGAATCTAACAAAACCTAGTAAGAGAGGAATGCAGAGCCTTAAAAATCAAAACGACACTCTTGGATCTCAAGAAGCCTAGAAAGGCAGCATTATTTACACATTTTAATTATGTAGTGCTTAAAGAAAACAAAAAACTTCTATTTGGCTAGGTAATATCTTGTTCTCAATTTTTTTTAAATTGTTTTGCCTGATTAGTATTTTAGACATATTTGCTATACAGAGAAATGAATTTAAATCAAAACACAATCAACTGCTCTATTTGTGATCCCACCTGGTCTCCAGGGTCTACAGCATTACTTCTAATGAACTTGGCAGCTGAATAAGCTTCAAATATGATTTTAGGAAGGAAAATTATTATACTTAGCTTGTGCTAAATTAATTACAAGCAGAATCCTTACTTAAGATGGGAGGGTGTTCACATGTATGAGCTGTCTTAAACAGGATCACAATAAGAGACAAGGCATTCAATTTACCACAGAATTAACTAGACAGTGCCAGCCAGACTACAGGTCCAGAGCTTGTGGCATCTCTTTTACCTTACAGCATTTCCTTTTCATGAATTCAGGGATAGAAAAGCCACATTTTTAACAGAAACCAAGACAAAGGATATAAAAGTTTGTTTTTTAAAAAGTATTATTAAAATAAACTGCTATCCTCACTCCAGCTTTGTGGTTCTGGCTCTTGAGTAGACCATTATGGGGGACAAGGGTACACATGGACACAGGGATGACCAGGAGGGGCTAGATATGAAGAGGAAGATTCACCAAATTAACATATTTGAGGAAAAGAAATGCCCAGTTATAAGTTTTAGAAAAAGTGGGAAAATGTGCCAAAGTTATGAAAGCGTAAGTTTATTTCTGAATCAGTTCTTTGTTTCTTTTTAAAGCAGAATTTAGAATACTTTTCTTGAAAAAAGTTAAGCAGAAAATACTCTTTTACTTCTCCAGTTTACCTCCAAATTCTCATTTTACTGAAACTATTCTCATGGGACAGCATCTTGCACAGCATAATTTTTAAGCTCCTATTTACAACTTATCCAAAAGTTCACTGTTTGTACAGCGTTTGTATAAACATTTGTTAAAAAAATACAATTCTATTGCTCATTAAGTGTGGTCTTAAGGTCCACAACACAAAACATGTTATCCTCTTAAATTACACTATGGTGCTAGAGATGCAACATTCAGGTTGTCCTTTGAACAGTTTTACTACTGTTTTTCTTGGAGCTATTATCTACTTAAGTGAATATTACTGAAAATGCAGTATTTTAAATACACCATGGGTATAGTCCTGTTTTTGCGTGGATATAGATCTTTTGCCACCTTCTGTTATAGTAAGTATGCACACTCCCTTTCCCAGATAACTGAATAATCTTGTAAATGCTGTGAGACAAATTTACTTAAGTCTTAGCTTTCAAAGAAAATGCAGACAGACTAAACTGATAAAGCAATTATTTCTTAATCTCTTTCATTGCAGAGAATTAGTTTCTCTTGGTCCTAAAGTTGAGCATTCTATTTGATTTTGAAGTACCTGTAGATTTAACAGTTCTTCCCACTACAGAAGGAAAAGGATTTAGTACAAGTGGTGTACAGGAGAGAAGGCTGTAATAGCTGAAGAGATCTCTCTCAGAAAGCAAGCTTTTCTGTATATCATTCAATAGATTGTGTTTAGTGTCACTTATTTCCAGCAAACTTTGAAATCTGTAAGCAACTCAAGATTCTCAGATTTTTATACTCCCCTTTTTCAGACTAAATCTGCTTATTTACTGATATGGAAATTAGCAGGCATGTCAATCAAACCTCAACAGAAAAAAAAAAACCAAACAGTAAAATACCAGTTGATTCTTTCACCATTTTGTTTGGGACCTGTACACATAAAAACGAAGGGGCAAGAAATGCAACCATTTTTCAGTCACTTCTGAGCAACTTGCAAGTAACATGGTTGTTATATATTTTAAGTCTTAAAATGTGACTATAGAGTATTTAATGTTTCAGACATTAGGACTGAAGACAGCCTTAATGACTAAATATAGTTCACTGCACAGCTTACTGCGCTTGAAGGGGAAGGAGAGGTTTCCCTAAAAGTTTAAGAAAGGAAACTCAAATTTGTTGTTGCATTTCACTGGAGGGCAAGTGATTGGGGAAGGACACAGGAGGGATCCTCAGTCATCCAGAGCATTATTTTTATTCACCGGTAGACCACAGATTAAATTTTTCTGATCTCTGCTTTTTCCTAATCTCTCCTCCTTCCCTAACAGCTCTTTCCTCTCCCCTTTTCCAGCATTCCGTCTGCCATCTATTCTCATCGCATAGGATGAAGAGTAATTACGCAGCAGTGCCCCTCCCTCTCAAGTACAGGTACATATCACTGACCCAACAGACCTGTGTAGGAAGTTCTTCAATTCTGAATAAGTGTTTAGCCTTGCCAAGTGCTACCTAGAAAGCAGCTTGCTGCTTCTTTCATTTACAAATCCTTCCAAGACACTCAATACCTGCACCACTTGTTTTTCAACAGAAAGTGCCTCTGGAACAGAGAAAGGTCCGTAATTGCATTAATTTTATTTTATCGCTAGAGAAGTCAGTACCACATACTTGTTAATGATAAATAAGCATAGAATGAAATAAAGTGTGAAACACCATCGTATTGATATTAAAGCATCAAGATTATCTTAATTTGAGTATTAATTTAAAGATTAATAGGAAGCCACTAAAATTATTCTTAGACATACTAAAATGCATTTGTTATAATAATTAAAATCACAATTCAAAAATTGTTCCAAATAAAAAGTAAACAAAGAACAGCTCATCCCATTAAGTAACATAGTGCATAAGTCACTACACTGGTCACTTGGCTTAACTGAAACTGCGAGTTACTGTGCAAGTTTCCTTTAAACAGTTGACCTATGCTATGTAACATTGCTTTTGCAATAGTGATCTTCTTAAACAGTACCATCATAAGCTATGCAACCGTCAGCCTCAAGAGTATAGACTATGAGTACAAGAATTAAAAAAATATTTTTCGGCAACTAACTGAAAAGACATAATTCTAACCCAAGGTTTGAGGATATCTGCAACAAGCATATCCAGCTAAAGGCAATTCAATGCAAGCAATGGAGAGAAACAGAAGAAAAATATTAAATTGAACTTGCAGCACACAACACCTAACAACTAACAATTTAACAAGAGATCAGAACTCCACAGTCACTGAGTGATGAGCCACCGAAAGAAAGACTCAAGCATAACGTTGAAAGAGATAATCCACAATTTTCTAATTGCTAAGAAGAGCAAACAAGACCATCATACATCTCAAGGGGAAGAAGAAACTTTATCACGGAATACGAAGGGAGTGACAGTGTCCAGAATTTATTAAGAAATGCTTTAAGGAGACTCTGAGGTTGTGTGAAATTTCTTGTGGTATGTTTAGGGGAAGAATCAAAGACAAGAAAAAGGAAGAATCAAGGTGATTCAGGCAACCAGCATGGGAAAAATGGAACAAGGAGACTGAAATAAGCTAGCTGCCTATGTCCATTTCTCCATTTAAACCATTGAAATATTCAGCATACAAGATAAATCCCCCACCCCCAATACCTGAGACAATACAAAGTAAACAATATTAAATGCTAATCATAATCTAGTATTAACACATGGTTTGACACACATTGTATTTATAGTAGATAATAACGTGTGCCCAAACTGTGTCCCTAAAGCTGCCTACTGAAAATTACCCCTACTCTGTATTACCGTTGATCGACCTCTGGAAGCTCTGTTAGTTAACCTGGGGCTAAACTTCTGCTACATTTCAACAATCCAACAGTTTGACAGTGTATCTTCAGAGTTTACAGATTTTCTTCAGCTTTTCTTATGCTTTTACTTATTTGATGCATTATATTTTTATATATAAATGTAACATATAATATGAAAACACAATTCAATTTTATAATACATAAAATATTTAATTATATATAATATGTATTCCTATACAATAAATAATTAGGTACCTATATAAAAATTTGAATCTATTTTAAAATAAAAATAAATATGATGGATAACTACATAATTATATATATAATACATACAATGAACATGGTATATACTATGTACATATGTAGCCATAGATGACAGAAGAATAAAAAAAACTAAATAATAATTTTAGTCTTAGATTTTAAGTATTTAGCAAAGCAAAGGAATTTACTAAGCATATAATAACTGTCAAACCACCCAAATGACTTTTCCAGTTTGGCATACAGTATAGTCTTAAACAAAACTGTTAAGAAATAATTACCATTAACACACCTGAAGTGACATTTTATGCTTACTTTGCATAGTCAAAGAGTCTGCTGTCCCAGAGCTGATGATTTCCTTTATAACCGGAATGGAAGAAACAAGAATCTGTACCATCAAATTTGTTGAGGCCATCTTCAGAGTTTTTTGATGCATGGCTGTGCACAACATCCAGCAGAACAGTGATGCCCATTGAGTGAGCAACATCAATCATTTCTTTCAGGTCATCTGGAGTTCCATAACGGCTATCAACATAAAAACACAATGTGTTATCAGCGGTACAATCTGAACTTAAGGTTACAACACTTGAACACTAGTCATAAAAACTACATTAAAGTCAGCAGCTCTTTATCACCTATTTTCTAGTTGCACACAGGTTATTTTTTCGGCTTAAGTAGCAGCTATTGATTAAAAACTGACAAAGTTTTTTAATTATAAACATTACATCATGAATGCATACAATATTTTGCAGAAATAGTTTCAAAGTTTTATTCTTCCCTCTTAATCTGTTAATACATCAGGTTCAGTATAAAAGAGAACTGATTCAACTTAAAGCTTCTATTTAATATTGAACACTTTCATATGTTGTAAGAGACAAGAATGTATTTATGTGACCGGAATAAAGTAATCCATAATGACTATAAAAGCAAATGTACGTTCATGAAAGTTTCCAAAATACATCACCTGCTGCTGTCCTACTCAGTTATTCATTTTAGGTACTACACTGTTTTTTAAATGAAGGTTTTTGTGTCCTGTGTCTGATACACATTTCTTTCAAATAATTAAGCCAGTTAAAAGTTCCTGTCTATCTAAATTTAGGCTGGTTGTCACTTGAGCTTCTACAAGATGAAAAAAATAGTCACAACATTCAGGTTTATCATAATTTCCTTGAGAATTACCTGAATACATTTTCCATCTATTTTTACCCTCAAATCTAAGTACAGTCTGTTGCAAGCATGGGGAAAAGTTCCCACAGAACACACAAAGTCATTATTTTAAACAAGTTTATCATAAACAAGTTCTGTTTATCATAAAAGAATGACTTACACATCGTGTTTGTTACTGCCAAGAATGCCACAACATAAAACTCATACATAAAGACTGCTGAAGCTGGATTAGCTGAAATATGCTATGACAGCTGATGCTACTTAAAAATTTTGTTTGTATCTTATATGAAGTGTTTCATAGAAAAGCTGATCACTATGCCAAACTGATTTCAGATTTAAAAGGAAGTTAGAACAAATACGTAAGCCATTACTTTCTCTTTCCATTAAATACTTGCAAACACACACATACCGGCATACTGATTTCAATGTATTTGGAGTGAGGTAAGAGAACAGAGAAGATGCTGAAGTACTTAACCTACCTTGATGCTGCAAAGAAGCTTGTGACCTGATAACCAAAACTGGCATAGTATGCATGTTCCATAATAGCCATCAACTGGACACAGTTGTATCCTATAAAGACAAAAAATAAAACAAACAAACCCCTGTCTTAAGGATCATTAAAAGAAAATTCAACACCTGTAGCATATCCATTCCAGTCTTCTCTCCTTTTAGCTATTTCTAACTTTAACAACTAAAGATTCAGTCTGTTTCAAGAAGTAATTCTACTTAATACTTCATACTTTCACAATCTTCCATTAAAAATGAAATGGTCAATTTGTCAAGTGATCTACATCTAACTAGGTGTATTGAATCTCAGATTTAGAAAGCAATAAGTGATATACAAATATAATCTTAATTTAACTTCAGAATATAAACTATGCCAGCCTCCATGGCCTGAATTTCTGCTTCACTTTCAACACTTAGGGTCAGGGGGTGTGGGGTTAGTCACTGGCTACACATACCATAGCTTATGCCCTGTGGAATCTTTTTTTACTACTTCAAAACCACTTTTTTTTTCCCCCTCCAACTTTAATGATTACACACCTCCTCTACAAGAGTTTTTTAAAAAAGAGAAAACACAAAAGTAATGTGCTTTTATTCCGAGTTACCAAAGAACCAAAGCAGTACAGGATGGTCAGGGACATCCCGTCTCTATAACTGTTCAGTGCAATATTAAGGGAAAACAACATACTAATAGTGAAGCCACAATACGTGATGCATCTTAACTAAAGCCATCTCTAATATCAGTAAGTGCCCCAGATAGCTAGCAAGTGAGGACTACCAGCAAAAGATGACCTTCAGGTTTAATCTAGTCTGTTGAGACTCCTACCACCACCACTTCTCTTTATTAGTTTAACTAAAATCTTCACTTCATTCTTTAGTTTAGACATGATACTGGTTCTTCTTTTTGACTGTTCTTGGTTTTGCTTTTAAATTTCACAGCTATAAAAGAGTTATTATTAGAGGATAGTTGGCACGAACTCAGCAATTTGTCAGATTCATTGCTGTTTTATAATTCAGGCTCACTGCACTTATTCTTATTTACAGCATCTTTATAAATAAACAGCAACATAGCATCAAATTAATCTCATTTGATTTGCTTGCTATTTATTTTGCTATTTGTCATGCACATATTTCTACAAACTATTAATATCTTAGCATTCTTAACTACTGATGTCTTTAAGCTTGTTCTAACAATGCATTCCAAAACTGAATATAATAGCCCTTAAAAATACATTTTAAAAATGAAAAACTTAATTCCCAGTGTTTGCCTAATGTAAATAAGCATGTATTTTATCAGTCTACCCTACTGAAATTTTATATTGCTTTTATTTTGTGGTGTATCGCCCTTTTCATGACATTTCCCGTCCCTAAAGAAAAATCTGTAGGTAAAGCAGAAAAGTTTTGTAACTCTATTAAACATATTAACCTCCTGGAACAACCAAAATTCTTTGGCAAGAAAGAGTCACAGACACATGATGTGGAATCCAAATTTATTTTTTGCTGAGGGCCTCCACAAGTGCGAACTCTCTCATCTCACCTGCCAGCTTAGCTTTACTGAGCAGCAAGAGATACATCCTGTAAACACTGACACAAGTAAACCTACATGAAAACTGCATGGCTACTTCAGGCACTCTGATAAATAACAGAAAAAAAAATTCAAACAACACATAAGCACAGCCATCATCCAAGTCTCAGCCATGGATGTCACTATTATTTTACAGTTGAGTGTAACAGAACATATTTCATCACAGGGCAGTAAAAGCCAGCAAGTTCTAATATTGTCCATTATAGAAACAGTGCAAAGAGACCACAGGACAAAAAATAATCATCAAATAGAAATTGAGGTGAAAAGTTTTGCTAGTCTTCCTCTGAGATAATCATGCCAGCTGTTTCATACATCCCCTCTAATACAGTAGAAGTTCTCTGAAAGATTTCTCACATTTAAAGTTTCCATATTCTGATACCTCATAGCAACTACCCAGGGATAAAAAAAATTTAGCACACTTATTCTGACAAACAGGAATGACAATCATTTCTATCCAGATATTTCTTTGTCTTTCCTTATAATCAAGATTTACATCAGTAGAACCAATTAAAAACCCAGTATTTTCTGAAGACTGTATCAGAAAAATGGGTCCTTTTACAAGTTGAAAACAAACCACGCCAAAAGTAAACCGCTCTGCAATATTTATCTAGGCTTTTTAAGTAAAAGTAAAACGTGATTACAAATCTGTAGACTAGATTTTGATTCACATATCCTATTTCAGTCTTCATTGTTTCTCCATAGATTTTACTTGTTTATAGTTTTTGCTGTCCTAAGAATCTATTTTCACTGTACATGTAATCTAAAAATGCAAAAAAACTGTAGACACTTGATAATTATTTTTTCTAATAAGGCACAGGCAAATACAAATTTTCATCTCTGCAAGCACCTCTTATTACTTACCAAGATCCTTTATTCTAGGTAGTACATTATATGTGAAGTTTTTATAAGAAGCTACTTTCCCTTCTGGAGAAGCAATCCCCACATGAGATTCATAGATTCTTAGGCTTTTTAATCTCTTGGGGGAAGGATGCTTATGCTGTAAGGGAAAAAAACCCAAAACAGTTGTCATTAGGATACAACAGCTTGCAAGTATTGTCACAATCATATAATTTGCACAAGATGAAAAATAATTTAAGGTCTGTTTTGTCATTTGTTTTACATTTCAGAACTAATTAAGCATTCTAAACTGTTAAAGCAAATGTCTATTTTAAATTAACATTCTTCATGAACAAGAAACTAGACATCCATGATTCAACACTTTTCTTATACCCTTTTTAAATTACACCAAAGCAGAAAAACTTATAGCAGCCATTATAATATAGAGTTCTTCTGCACTAATACAAAGTTTGTTTGAAAATAAGACAACAGTAGAAAGATTGTTTTTTAAGCATATCTGCTTTTTGCAGGTATTTGAAGTTGTGCTGCCTTCTCTAAACTAAAATTTATAAATCTTTCAGTCCTACAGAACACAGTTCCACAGCACAGCATAATCTATTTTCCAATTACTTAGGATTAAAAAAAAAAATAAATCCCAAGTCTGTAGGTACATACTTCCAGATGGTTGAAAATATTTAAATACAGAGGCAACTGAAATACATCATAAAACCTCCTTACACTTGAAAAGCAGCTTATACTTGATCAGAAGATGTCTTAAAACAAAAGCCTTGTCTGAAGAAACTTAGGAAAATTATTGCTTAAGACCTATTTCCTCCCCTTAAAAGGTTTTTCTTTTCCTCCCTCTCACAACTAAAAAAAAAGTTACAAGATTTTACATTCTATTTGTAATTTTAACATTTAAGTCAAATCTTTAAAAAAGTTAGAACAAAACCAGTAACACACACACATACCTGAGCAGTAATTAAAGGAACAATGTGAAGAATAAGAAGTTCTGGTTGAGCTTTACTCCCTGTATTTTACTTTCAGTGGGCACCTCTACTATTCATGAAAGGATCCCGTTGTTTTGTTTTGCCTGACGTTTGACTCAGTAAGGCCTCATCTGCACCCTAAATTGTCTCACTTTCTTTTCACTCTGGGTCATGCAGATTATTGCATCTCCAATTACCTCCCCATTCCTCTTCCTATAGAAAATCTAGGTGACAGACAGTATCATACATACAGGATAGATCACTAAATATGAACTATGTACCTATATAAGAAAGCTACTGCAAATTATGTAATGATTTTTTTAAGAGCTTTTCTATTTGAGTTACCCTTTCCCTGTCAAGCAGATGCTTCATAATTTGAGGTGGGTGCTAAAATTTAACTCAGAACAGAGGTTGCAGCACCTCTGATACAGAATATTGCATACCATTTTTTAGTGTAGACAGAAAAAAAGTGTAATAATATGAACTAACACCACTCAGTTGGAAGTTCCTGAATGTTCTCCTAGGATATCTTTCATATATGATATAAAGAGATTCTCTTCCTGTAGCAGTGCATAAGTAATAAGAGGGCATTTAAAAAAAAAAATCAATAGATGGATTTTTCTGATACAAAGAAACTAGGATTTGACTGGAGCACGACCACCTTACTTTTGAAAGCTTTTTCTGGCTTCATACAGCATTGACTTATTATTGGAGTACTGAATTTGTATTTGCAGCTAAATAATTCTTAAACCCAATTCTGATCATTCCTTCTCTGTACCAGGAGGGGCCTCCTAGTTCTGGAATAGTTATCAAGCTTGCCTAGCATGTGAGAAGCCAAGTTTAAAATATGACTTTAATGGGTAACTACTTTTTACATACTCTATGAGACAACTAAGAAAGAAGCTCAAAAACATCCATCATTGAAGTCACTTGTTTCTGTCAAAACCATGACTAAAAACCCTTCATTTCTCAGGTACCTACTTTAACTAATAGATACCTGAGAAGTACAAGCAGGGATACAAAGATGACATGATACACAGTTTTATACATCTTTTCAAAATAATAGTAAACCCTTACTATATACGACTGTGGTGGATTCCAATGTACCCAATCATAATTCACTTTGTCTTCATCACGCACTACATATCTTGCCCAAGGTGAAATACGATAGAGGAGTTCACCACTTTGAGCACGAATCACCACCTATAAAATAACAGCAACATACAACTGTAGTCACATATAATTCATACAACATCTCCTATGTAAACCACAGTGGAGAATGAAAGAGTAAGCTACAGTTTTAAAAAACAGACAAATATGCAATGCAAGTCAAGACAAGGAAGAACAACCCTGTTCACAGAGATGATTTGCAGGGGATAGCAAAACAGACATGTCAGACACAGGAGTGATCACAAGCTGGAGCTGAAAGGTGAGGATATATATGTAAGCTTCATATAAGTAACGGGAGAAAGAGCCTTTCCAAATGGTTTACTGTTAGGTTCCCCAATTTCCCCTGACAATCCTATTTCCTCACTATGTTCTTATAAATTTAAATAGACATGCAGTATAATACCACCAAGATGGGAACTGTGATTTGTTTACTTGACAAACAATCTAGTAAGCCAATTTTAATATCTTAATTCCCTCTTTTCTATGCTCTGCGAGTCCTGTCCAATATCATTTAGACCAGAAACGCAGATCAACACAAGCAGCACAGGACAGCTTTCTGGTCAAGAAGAGGGAAAAGAGTAAAATTTACATTGCTGGATTTCTTCTTCTGCTTTTCAGTTTCTCTGAATGCCTTCATCATTTTAATGATGATACAATTAAATATTATCATTTGTTTTAGTTTCCATATTTGGTTTCCTCTATTTTACAACATTAGATGAAAGAGGATTATTCCTTTAAATTCCTTCAAAAAGCTCAATAAAACTTCACTTCACCAGAAAGAGTGACCTAGGAGATCTTTTGGAGTATTTTAATTTTACACAACAAAAGCAAAATTTAAATAATTACTAAAACAATGTTGTACTGGAACGTTGCAGAAGACATTGTATTTGAGGAACTGATAATCTTTAACAGGCCATCTCTACTTCATTGAATAATTAATGTAATATGTATCTTACAAAATACTTTTGGGAAAGGTAATGAGAATTAAAGGGCTGGAAGGTAGTGCTGCTGACTGGGAGATAGGTACAACAGGTCCATGTAGTGCTGCACATGTCCCTTGGCTCCAAGACAACAACCACCATCTCAGCATAACAGAGGGGCCTGCAGGAAGCTCCCCCTTGGTACTGACAGCTACAACACCTACATGGCTCTTGACTGAAAGCACAGCAAGAAACCCTCATGAGAATATGCCTTCTGAGTAGAGTTGTTTTCCTCTAAGGAAATTAAATACTAGCTTGAATGACAAAGAAGGAGAGCTTCAAACAGGATTCACTCCACACAGCATGTCATGGGAGAATCTATCAGGGCACTGTCTGTTGCCACACTAATGCAAGGTGTCCAGCATTTGAAGCTGACTTGCTCACAATTAGTATTCCTGCTCCTCTGCCTAACTAAGGCAGTTGTCCTATGAAGCCAACTGCTGTCAGCCCCTTCTTGAGATGTAGAAAGAAACCTATTCCATCTCTCTCACCTCACCCTATCTCCCCACTTCCTCAGTGCAGAAGGAAGAGCATCACTCTGGTTTTCCTTGGTATGTTAGCTGCCACTAAAACAGTAACACAGAAGGTTTGCAAATTTAGAACCCAGAAACGTAGAAGCAAGTGAAGTCTGAAATTCTTTGTTACACTTTTGTTGAGAAATCAATGGTTGTTTGGTTTTTTTGTTTGTTTGTTTTGGTTCTTTGTTTTGTGGGGCTTTTTTTTTTTTGTAAGGACCACTATAATCATAAGAAGCCTCAAATGAAAAGTGGAGGTGAACTTTTCTTTCCTCCCCTTTTTTATTAAAAAAGTGACTTTTTTTTGCTCTTAATTCCTAACAAGTAGTCTGGAAGAAGACACTTAAAGAATTTCCTTTTCACCTGTGGTAAGTGCCTTTCATTATTTTAATAGATTATCTGTATCTTCAACCCAACGACAGGAGAAAGTAAGATGAAAACATTACGCATTAGGTTAATGGAAGTTGGTAGAGTACAGCAATGAGGTGTGATTGCTGTGTGTCTCAGTGTATATTAGTATAACTCTGATAACTCAAAACAGCTTTTGTAAGAAGGAGTAATTGAGATTAACCATGTAATCAGAATAGGCTAAGAAAAATACATTGAAAGCAGTGTACAGTTGAAAGGAAAATTTCTTATGTCAACTGTGCTAGCAACGCTGGCCAAAAGGGTATTTCTGCAAACTATATCAACACTATGAAGATCCTCCTGGCTGACAGCATTGTCAATCTGCAAGTTACTCTTAATACAAATTTTCTGCTCTTTCTGGTGACACACTTCTGATGATATTATTTCTTGTTTTATTAATTTGTCCCAATTTACTCATCACAAATAAGGTAATTATTGCATACAATAACTGTACCTTAGCTACTTAAGTTAATATTCCAGGTCTATGAGCAGTAGGCACATTTTAAGAAATATAAGGTAATTAATCTAAATTCAGAACATTTATTTAGATGTAGTACTGGTTTAATTGTAAGATTATACTGGGGGGGGTAGAAAGACATTTATTATGAAATAGTATGCACCAGTCATGCATACTATTCCATTTAAGTCCATTCAGCGATGAAAAACACTTTAGAAAAGAATTATAAACATTTAAATGAACAACCAGTTATTTCACTTTTTTCAACCCCACTTCTACAGCTATGATGCACATGTTAATTACCATCCTGCTGAAATCACTTACATTTTGTTGTTCTGTAGTCACTCAATTCAAATTGACCATATTTCCCCTTGTTTCTGAGGCACCAGTGCATTTGATTTACCAGTTTTTGAGAAGTCATTTTGTTTAAGTACTAGTTTTGCTTTCATTCAAAGCATCTATCAGGTCAAGTTCATTGTGTAGACTTTTTAGGAACTGCGAGACCTTTACAGGAGCTTGTACAAGTTCCTACTAACTTTCACAGCCAGAATTGTAACGTATTCAAATAAAACTCCCAAGAAGCAGAGGCATACATGTATTTGTCACATTATCATAGCAACAACATAGAGTGATAAACAGACGTGCTAGTCTACCGCTTTTTGCAAGGGCTGAGTTTACACACTTAACAGACTTAAGAATATGCTCTATTTTAAGTTTCAAAACCTAAATTTTTGGGTTTCATTTTTATTTTAGAACTTAACTTTCAGTTTTATTATGCTAAAATATAAGACTCCCATGTTCTAAAGAAAAGGATACATTTATCCAAAAATAGAAGTCATACAATGTAATCATGTCAATATCAGAAAATCTCTAAAAAAGCAGGAGAGCATTTATTTTAAACAAGTATTTAGAAAATTTATTTGCTGTCTTCATTACAGTGTAGGTGGTCTTTAAGGATTATTTTCCAAATATATCCAGTCATGGCTGTACCTGGTTGAACATCACCATAAGAGCAGAAACCTCAGTTTTGCTCATGCGTTGCTGTAATTTTTGAGCATCATGAGCCATGCACAGAGAAAGCAGTCAATAGCAACACAGCCAAGCCAGAAAAAGGATCATTATGGCAATTAAGCTGGTGAAGTTGAATCCTGTTCCTCTCTGGTTTACAAGAACATAATCAACATTTTCTTTAGACCTCTATCAAGTGATCCCTAACAATTTCAACTCTCATTTCCTATGCTTGCTTAGCCCTTTTATTAATTTCAAGTGAATTCCATTTACTGAATCTTTCCTTAACTACCAAGCTCTATACTCAATCAACGTCTATTCCTCTCTCCTCAATTGCAGAAAGTTGATTAATAAGTTACAAGTAGAAAGACTTCAAGATAGTATTTGCTAAAGTTTGAGACGGAACCCCCACACCATCATGCTCTGCAGAGGCATGAGCAAAAAAAACTCAAACAAAACATAAAACATGTAAAAAGTTGAACAGCACCCCAAAACAAATAGCTCTTCAGCCCAAGATTGACAAAAATAACTCTAATGGAAATAGTCCAACAGCTTTCATTCCCATATTCGCTTTGGCATTTCTTGAAACAATTAATTACAAATAAAAGTTGTAATAAAAGGATTAATAATATAAAGCACACATGCAAAGCTGAAAGATAAACAACACTTGCCCCACTCACCCCAAACTATTACTTGTGGTCCATTCTCTGCAGTGTTCAGATATAAAAAGCAGCTGCCATGTATACACTGCACCTGCTACTACAGGTTATATATACATAAATATTATTGAATATAGACATTACACAGCCCTTCTGACAAAGTACCGATGAATCTTTTTAGCAGAAATTCTACTTTTGCTCAGAATTTGCTTTTTTACTCATTTCAAACTAATTCTTAGAAGTTATGACGCATAAACTAAGCTAGCTACCACTTAGTTCATCAACATTTTATAGCTGAGTTCACATTTTCCAATTAACTCAAGTCTTCTCTAAAGAACATATATAAAAATCATGATGTTCTTTAAATAGGCTTCTTCAAACTGGCCTTGGGAATTACCTACTTCATTTTTAAAGAGTATGTCCCTGTTCTTTCCTTCATGTATATGAGGAGGCACATCATATTATTTAATATAGATGCTACAGCCCCCATTAAATAAAACTTTAAAAATGCATACTACTATAGCATGAAATGCATTTGTCAAGTGGACTGTCAAACTGGCAGAAGTTTAGTCTCTAACCACAAATAACCTGTTTGTTTTACACTTATTTAGTTGAAGAAAATCCTGGGTAAAAATAGCCACTGTATTTCTGATTCTATTATCAGTTTCTTTTACACTTTTGCTGGCTTCTAAGAACATATAAGAGTTCACATCTTGCTGACTTTTAAGTACATAATAGAGACTACAGATGGGGTTGCTAGTAAAAAAAAATCAGTTAAACTTAGCTGTAACATGTAATGAAACATCAGGCATAGTATGCGCACAAGGTCTGCAGTAGGCATTTAATACACATAATATGTACCAAACAGCCCTTTGTCAACAATACGTTTTCATATCACAGTTACATACCTGCATTATGGCTTACCCTTGGCTTTCATCACCTTTGTGATTTAAGTCACCTTTTAAACGCTTACCAGTGGGAGCTAAGTAAATTTATCAAGGAGGAG